GCAATAAGCTGATGGAAATAAAGCGTCACAAGATCATTTTCAAAAGTTCTTTGATATCATTTTCTGAAGATATTGCTATCAATGATTGATGCCCTACGACTCCTGCCGCCAGTAAAGTGAAAATAGTGAAGCGTTTATTACCTGTTTAAGCTATCGCTTTGAGAACATATGCTACCGGTTGATATGCTCTAGGAGGTTCCAGAAGTCTATTTTTTCAATGCTAGTCCAAAGCAAAAATATTTCTCTCACAGTATGGTAAGCTCGCCTAACCTTACATTCTCATTGGTAAGCAGCGCGTTAAAGTAGATTTTTCTCAAGCTCTGGGGAAAAACGGGAAGACTAATTTAAACGAGAAGAATTATGCTTTCTGAGGAAAAACACACCATTTGCATCCGCTTGGCTGGGTTTTGGTTTCGACACACCGTAAACAAACATCGTCAATGGTTTTCTCTGAAAGAAAACCTATACACGAACCTGTGCGATGGGGATTTGTCAACAGTTTCATAACAGCGAAGAAAATTGTTTCAAGCTATCTCAGCCGAGATTGCTGTTAGTGCATCAGAAAGGAGAAACAATTTGATAGGATACATTACAACTTACGGTTGCATTTTCGAGATATCTTTGAACTTTTGCTGTACTAATTTTTAAGATACCGATGTTGTTCGTCCAGATATTCGAAATTGATTTTAAAATGTAAAACAGCAACCATTACGAAAAACGACAAGGTAAGTTTCTACTTCTACATTTCATGAGTCAAAAGCAGAGAAGTATGGTGTCTACCTCGGCTGCCGGAGCTAACTGATTTAACGTACTGTAATTGCTACGTAGGTTGTGCGCGTATCTCTAATCAGGTGCTTTGTTGCAGTCTTTGACTCTTAGCTGAGGTGTGCGCCGAGTATTCTGGAGAGAGGAGAGTGTAAAGATTTTACGTAGTTGGACAAGTTCTAATTCTATTCTGACGTGGTCACTTATTTGAAAAAATTTTTCCCGAGGGATGTACTAGATACCTTGTATGAGATACAATGACGAATGAGATGAATTGTAAAAAAACAATTTTTTAACATTTTATTGTCTAATGAAAAGTTTTACACTGAAGCATATTATTGGTGAGTCGCTCCTTTTCATGAGAATATATATTTTATGTAAGAATTAAACAATATCCAGCACGTGCTTCTTCCATTAAGGATTCTCAAAGAGGTACTCAGTTTTTCCTCCTCCCTCCTTCCTGTCAATCTTCCTACTCTTAATGCGCAGCTGATTGTGAGTATGTCTACTTTAGGAACTTTACATGTTCGCAGCTTTTGCGGTAAGCTTTACTCTTCAGCTTTTTGTTGACAGTTGTCTCAGCAATAAGCACAAACCTTACATTAAATGCAAATCATACCTCATGTCGGTATCACGCTGCTGCTATCGGTATCATTAGCAGCACCAAGCAACCCGACGATTAACTCGTGAATGTAGACTAGCTTGAGATCAAATTATAAAATGCTTTGCTTGAAAGAAACACAATTTCTTTGATGCTGTTGGAACAAAATTATGCTCATTTAGACGGAGTAACAAATTCTTTGTAATAAGTAGTCACGAAATCTTTCGATCTTAACTTTGAACCACAATTTACCTTTCGCAATGATGCATAATTAATCTCAGATCACCATTCAAATATGAAGACGCAGACGATGAGCTGTACCTGGTACGGAAGTGGGTTGTCGTTTTGGGGCACAAAAGTAACGCCCAAAGCGCCATTTAGTAGCGGGAAGTTGATTGATGCCATAGAAAAAAGAATTCATGAAGTTTGCACTCACGAAGTGTGACCTTGCTTGGAGTATAGCTATAGCCCCTTTATGTCGCCGAAGATTACCTTGCAATATTTGATAATCGCATAAGTAATTGAAGCCAGAATTGTTATGGATGTATGAATAACTAATATCTCAATGAAAAGTTCTTCACCAACTTAATGTTTTCTTCTTCACTTAATTTTGAATACTTTTATTTTAGGACCTTGTTGAACAAGAAATGATGCAAACTGTTATTGTCAAGAGTTTTTCACAAAGAAGCCACGTCTGCAATGAGATCAGCTTAGTTATATAATTTTGAGTCTGACTTTGTTCTCGGTCCCATTCAAAACGTTCTAGGAAACGCTGACGATCCACAAGTGTTACGTAAAAAACATTTCTGCGATGGTAAGAAACGAAGGATAATTTTGAGCCAAATCTTCTAACCAAGTAACAAAGTCCGAAGTTTTTCCATAAAATGTTCCAATTAAACCCTATTTTCATGAAAAGCCGGCTTAAAGCTTAAATAACAGCTATATGCATGTTTGAAGAAATTAGCATTGTATTCATAGGGGGAGTGGAGGGGGGAGTTGTGTCTCTTCATGCAACCTTTTTATGGGCTGGATTCTGGTATAAAAAGAATGAATTCTGCTATATGACAACAGAAAGTGGACTTGATTTCTTATTTTGCGAAACTCTTTAGTTATCACTTGAGAAGTTGGGTTCACTTCCAAGTAGGGTTCATTGTATCCACTAACTTGACCTTGCATTGGCAGTATGTTCGACACCTTCCCGGCCGAAGATGCCAGGACATGGACGGCTGATCACACCCCTCATGTCTGGCTAATTTCGGCTTGCTATCTCGGCTTCGTACTTACGGCACCTGGAAAAGTCGTTATGAAGCATGGCTTATTGCCACAGTGGTAAGAGCTAATTACGGTGTCTATGATGTCATATCATGCATGTTGTTGTGTAGGTACTACTATAATGGCTTAATACAATTGTGCCTACTGGTGGCATTTGTTCCGCAGGTTGTTCTTTCATTGACGGCGGGATGGAGGGATTCTGTATGCTGTAATCATTCACTTTACAATGGTAGGCTATGAGTAAAAACAATGAATTTGTTCTCCATAAGTTTAGTAAGATTCGGTTTAGTAAAAAAA